AAGGTGCATCTAACAGCTTTAAGAGATATATTAATAATAAACTGATAAAATAAGAAAATGAAAAATAAATTGATTTAAAAATAATGAAAATAATATAATAACAATGGATATATGAATCAGAAAGTATTATACAGATACAGAGATTCTTTATTGTCATTCGCACCACATGTGGTACATGTGGTGGATCAAAATTATGTACACAGGGTCCCAGTTACATCCAACAATAAAATATAAAATAAAAACAGTAATAAGATCTAAGATATGAACTAAGAAGAACATCAACTAAAAACACACTAAGCACTAATAACATAAAAACAATAAACACAATATGCCGAACAGCAGCACGGACATAAGTCTGTGTGAACAGATGAGCACGAATTAACACATCAACATGAAACAGATCAGCAGCAACATGAAACAGATCAGCAGCAACATGATGTGATTTTTCACAGTGATTATCCTGGTTAGATATTCATAAGGCTGCACAAACTCAAGTTCATGTTGCTGTTTGATGTATTGTTTTGATTGTTTACTGCTATTAGTGCTTAGTGTATTAGTAGTAGATGTTTTTTAGTTGATATTTTTCTTCATTCATATCTTAGGTCTTATTACTGTTTTTCTTTTACATTTTGTTGTCTGTAACTGGGACCCTGTGTACATAATTTCATCCCAATTCAGTATTTATTCAACATTTTATTTTTTTACTTTAAAAATATAATAAAACAAGTCCTTATCAGCACAGATAAAGTGATGTGGAACATGTTGCATCTGTTCTTACCGAGCACAGGCTGCTGCGTTGTGCTGCTCTATGAGGTGCAGCTGTGCTACAGTGGAGCTCTGTGAAGTGCAGGTGGGCTGCGAGCCTGCGATGGAGACCTGTCAGGTGCAGACTCCGCTGATGGAGCAGGAACAGAAGCCGGGAGACTTGGAGGGTTTAATGTGGAGTTTAGAAACGAACCGTCACGCGCTGAAATACGTTCTGGATAAAATACAGTGAGAAACGGGACCAGAGGACAGTTAGCGTTTATGCAAATTAGCTTATCATCGTAGCACCGATGTTGTCCTATTATGGCGTCAGCCTCTTTTGTTAGTTAAAAATATTTTCAGAACCGATGGGATGAGTAACTTAAAATATGTTTAAAGTTAGAAAACACTCACCATCTTCTATAAATGATTTAAGTAGAGCAGTGGCCGTGTCCAAACCACCCTCCAATTGCGCCATCTAGCTTGCTTTGACTTTTTTCCGTCAGCCAACAAACACAACAACACCTGCACTTCTGCATTTGACCACAGCTTTGATATTATTGTTTTTGTATAGCTTCAAAATAATAAAAGATAAGCTCCTCGAGTTATCGCTAATAGCAAACGGGAGAGAAAAAATGGCGGATCGAGTTGTTTAGAAAGACTCCACAGACTCCTCCCCCCGACCAATCGGTGACCGACAGTGTTTCTGACGTCACGTCTCGGCTCGCTTGGACCCCTTGAGAAGCCGGGCCAGAATTTAGGGAGGCGAGCCGGTCCCAGGAAACCTCAAACAAGGGCCAAGCCGGAAATATCCGACCCGCGCTGTGACAGTGGAAAAGGGGCATAAGTGGCCTCTGCAATAAGGATACAAAAATAAAGTACCAAAAAGTGAAAAAATAATTATAATATTTACAAGGACCTAAAGAGAGATAGTAAACAACAACATGGTAGAATGTAACGGTGCTAGCAGGATGAAATTGAATGAACAAGTATTTCTAGGTAGTAATATAATATATATAATATCATTTAAATATCAAATCTAATCTATTGCATAATGTATCATCAATTAGTCAATCAATTGATTAATCAATTAATTATCATTATTATTATTACCCCTCCCTGGGCTGCCACCTTTCTGTGGTGGAGAGGTTTGAGTGTCCCAATGATCCTAGTAGCTATGCTGTCAGGGGCTTTACGCCCCTAGTAGGGTCACCCAAGGCAGACAAGTCCTAGGTGAGGGACCAGACAAAGTGCAGCCCAAACACCCCTATGATGAGAAAAAGAAATGGACTTGACATTCCCTCGCCCAGATGTGGGTCACTGGGGCCCCCACTCTGGAGCCAGGCCTGGAGGTGGGGCATGCAGGCGAGCGCCTGGTGGCCGGGCTTTTACCCGTGGAGCTCAGCCGGGCACAGCCCGAAGAGGAGACGTGGGTCCCCCTTCCCATGGGCTCACCACCTGTGGGAGGGACCAAAGGGGTCGGGTGCAATGTGGGATGGGCGGTGGCCGACGGCGGGGACCCTGGCGGTCTGATCCTCGGCTACAGAAGCTGGCTATTGGGACATGGAATGTCACCTCACTGGTGGGGAAAGAGCCTGAGCTGGTGTGTGAGGTTGAGGGGTTCTGGCTAGAAATAGTCAGACTCACCTCCACGCATGGCTCTGGCTCTGGAACCAGTTTACTTGAGAGGGGTTGGACACTCTTCCACTCTGGAGTTGCCCCTGGTGAGAGGCGCCGAGCAGGAGTGGGCATACTTATTGCCCCCCATCTTGGTGCCTGTGTGTTGAGTTTCACCCTGGTGAATGAGAGGGTGGCCTCACTCCGCCTACGTTTAGGGGGACGGGTTCTGACTGTCATTTGTGCTTATGCACCAAACAGCAGTTCAGATTATCCACCCATTTTGGAGTCCTTGGAGGGGGTACTAGAAAGTGCACCTCCTGGGGACTCCCTTGTTCTGCTGGGGGACTTCATTGCTCATGTGGGCAATGACAGTGAGGCCCGGAGGGGTGTGGTTGGGAGGAATGGCCCCCCTGATCTGAACCCGAGTGGTGTTCTGTTGTTGGACTTCTGTGTTCATCATGGATTGTCCATAACAAACACCATGTTCAAGCATAAGGGTGTCCATATGTGCTCATGGCACCAGGACACCCTAGGTCGCAGTTCGATGATCGACTTTGTCATCGTCTCATCTGATCTGCGGCCACATGTCTTGGACACTCGAGTGAAGAGAGGGGCAGAGCTGTCTACTGATCACTACCTGGTGGTGAGTTGGCTCTGATAGTGGGGGAAGATGCCGGTCAGACCTGGTAGACCCAAACGTATTGTGAGGGTTTGCTGGGAACGTCTGGCAGAGTCTCCTGTGAAACGGAGCTTTAACTCCCACCTCCGGGAGAACTTCGAACATGTTCTGGGGGAGGTGGGGGACATTGAGTCTGAGTGGGTCATGTTCCGTGCCTCTATTGTCAAGGCGGCTTACCAGAGCTGTGGCCTCAAGGTTTTTGGTGCCTGTTGCGGCGGCAACCCTCAAACCCGGTGGTGGACACCATCGGTGAGGGATGCTGTCAGGCTGAAGAAGGAGTCCTATCGGGCCTTTTTGGCCTGTGGGACCCCGGAAGCAACTGATGGGTACCGGCAGTCCAAGCAACATGCGGTTCGGGTGGTTGCTGAGGCAAAAACTCGGGCATGGGAGGAGTTCGGAGAGGCCATGGAGAATGACTTCCGCACGGCTTCGAGGCGATTCTGGTCCACCATCCGGCGTCTCAGGGGGAGAAAGCGGTATTCCACCAACACTGTTTATAGTGGGGGTGGTGTGCTGCTGACCTCAACTCGGGATGTTGTGGGTCGGTGGGCAGAATACTTTGAAGATCTCCTCAATCCCACCGGCACGTCTTCCACTGAGGAAGCGGAGCCTGGGGACTCTGGGTCAGGCCCTCCAATCTCTGGTGCTGAGGTCACCGAGGTGGTTAAAAAGCTTCTCGGTGGCAGGGCCCCAGGGTTGGATGAGGTTCGCCCAGAGTTCCTTAAGGCTCTGGATGTTGTACGGTTGTGTTGGCTTACGCGACTCTGTAATATTGCGTGGACATCGGGGGAAGTTCCTCTGGATTGGCAGACCGGTGTGGTGGTCCCCCTTTTCAAAAAGGGGGACCGTAGAGTGTGTTTCAACTACAGGGGAATCACGCTCTTAAGCCTCCCTGGTAAGGTCTATTCGGGGGTTCTGGAGAGGAGGGTCCATCGGATAGTTGAACCTCAGATTCAGGAGGAGCAGTGCGGTTTTTGTCCTGGTCGTGGAACTCTGGAGCAGCTCTACACTCTCAGCAGGGTCCTGGAGGGTGCGTGGGAGTTTGCCCAACTGGTCTACATGTGCTTTGTGGACTTGGAGAAGACGTTCGACTGCGTCCCTCGGGGAACCCTGTGGGGTTGTATTCTGGGAGTATGGGATACCGGGCCCTTTGATATGGGTAGTTAGGTCCCTGTATGACCGGTGTCAGAGCCTGGTCTGCATTGCCGGCAGTAAGTCGTGCTTGTTCCCGTTGAGAGTTAGACTCCGTCAAGGTTGCCCTTTGTCACCGATTCTGTTCATAACTTTTATGGACAGAATTTCTAGGCGCAGCCAAGGTGTTGAGGGGATCCATTTTGGTAGCCTTAGGATTGCGTTTCTGCTTTTTGCAGATGATGTGGTCTTATTGACTTCATCAGATCGTGATCTACAGCTTTTGCTAGAGCAGTTTGCTCTCCCTTAGAGATAGGGTGAGAAGCTCGATTATCCGGGAGGGACTCAGAGTAGAGCCTCTGCTTCTCCACGTTGAGAGGAGCCAGTTGAGGTGGCTTGGGCATCTGTTTAGCATGCCTCCTGGACGCCTCCCTGGTGAGGTGTTCCGGACACATCCCACCTGGAGGAGACCCAGAGGAAGACCCAGGACACGCTGGAGGGACTATGTTTCTCGGCTGGCCTGGGAACGCCTCGGGATTCCCCCGCAGGAGCTGAACCAAGTGGCTGGGGAGAGGGATGTCTGGGCCTCCTTACTTAGGCTGCTACCCCCGCGACCCGAACCCGGATAAGCTGAAGAAAATGGATGGATGGATGGATGGATGATTGTCTCAAAATGTGTGTATGAAACGTCAAGCTTGTTAAAAACATGTAGTGTTTTTATGACTTTATTCAACTTATAGATGCTCTTTGTGGATGTTTGATCCAAAACACGCTTCACGGTATCTGATCATGATGATGACGCATCTGATTCTGTGTGCCTCCTCAGCTGAAGAGCGATGCTGTGGCGCTGGTGGATGTCTTCGCTCCAACTGATTTCATCCTCAACTCACCTATTGGCTGTGCTGATGGACAGGTACACAAACACAATCTCGAATTGTACAATAAAGTCAGAGGTTTATGTTGTGGTGGAGGTGTGTGTTAATGAGATTTTCTGGCTTTAGATTTTTTAAAATCTTTTATTTTTTATTTAGAAATTTATTCATTTTATTAAAAACAAAATAATTGCCTTATTTTCCGGTCTATAAGTCACAGTTTTTTGCATAAATTACATGCCCTGCGAGTTATAGGCCAAAGCGACATATTTATGGATATATTTAAGCGTAGCCCTTTAAAAGCTGTTGCTATTGGGTTTACCTGCGCGCAGCGCACCAAACACTGAAAACTTCTAGTTCATGCCCACCTGCTGTGTGGGCCCCACCCGGTCTGTTATAAATTGAATCTGGACCAGAGCTTGACTCCCAAAGGCTTACTCTTTTTTCTTCAGCCTTTTGAGAGCCAGTGAGGCCCAGTTTTTAAAGGGCTATGCATACACTCATATAATCTGGGGTTACAATACGTAACCAACGTTTTACTTTGTGTAAGCTACGCCCTTTAAAAACTGTTGCTATTGTGTTTAAAGGGCGGAGCAGGATATGGTCCATGCCTCACTGGGCCTGTCCGAGAACCATCAAAAACACCCTGATATCCGCCTAAACCTCTGTCTTTATTCAAGCGTTATTATGCACCATTGATCCATGTACCTAGTGCGTGCTGGATTACATGTGTGCAGCCTCTGTGCCTGGTCTTAACTGAAGGAATGTTTATTCATATCAATAGAGGAATAAGAGAAGGGAAAAATTTCCAATGAGGAAGAAGGAATTTTCCTGTTTGAACGAGTAATCGTAGAAAATGCCCACTAGTAATGACAGAGCAAGGCTGTATTGTTTTATTGTTTATTTTTATTTATTTCATTTTATTTATTTATTTTTGTTGTATGATTGTGAAAAATCACTCTGACATAACTCTGAGAACTGAATGTGTCAGTGAAGAGTTAGAAATATCTTGTAAATAAAAACAGATGAAGGGTCAGTGATGACCATGAAGCCGCAGAGCAGATGTCTTGCACAGACACCCCTCTGTGCAGAGCTGTGGAGGTAGAAATCCCTCTGGTGGATTGAGTCCTTCAGGCAGTTGCAGGCCAGAAGAACTATAAGCTTGTGATATAGCTTCACATAACCAATGTGACAGGTGCTGGGAAGGTAAAGGCTGACCCTGTGATCGTTCTCTGAAATGTACAAACAATTGATCGGATTTACGCATTGCGGCTGTGCATGTCACATAACACCTGAGTGCACATACTGGACAGAGCAGGTGAAACTGTTCCTCCTCCATAGTTTTATGGGGAGGGGGACAGAACCCATCCAGTGTAATGACTCTGTACCTGAACAAACTTATGCTTTTGGGTATAAAAGCAGGGTTTGGTGGGAGTTCTGCTGAGCTCCCGTCTCCTTGAATTCTGAGACAAGGAGCGATGGACAGACCTTACAAGTCGCTCACTCTTTTAGCTGATGTCAGAGCTAATAATAAGGCTGTTTTGAGTGACAGCTACTTCAAGGGTATCTGGTCCAGAGGCTCGAACGGATTTTTACTGAGTACACTGAGAATGAAGACTAAATCCCACTGTGGTGCCAGAGCGCGTGTCACTGGCCTGAGCCGGCGTGCACCTATCAGAAACTGTTTTGTTAAGGGGTGATTGAAAACAGTTCTATTGTTGAAAGATAGGAAGAGATTGCTGCAGCATAAGTTTTAATTGTGCTGAAAGCTGAATTTCTGTCCAACAGCAGCTGCAGGTAGGACAAAATGCAGCCCAGAGGACATGAAGTCGGGTCCATCTCCTTTTCTAGGCACCATTGCTGTAAAGCAGCCCATTTAGAAGCGTAAACAGCCGTAGTGTGTTTTGCGCATGCCCCCTGGATGGTACATATTACGTCTTTAGAAAACCCAAATTTTTCTAAGCGTTCTTGTTCAGCGGCCAGACCCAAAGGGGCTGACCTATTATTGGGGGCTCCTGATCACTCCTCCCACCTGCAGGAGCGCGTCCTGTCTCCATGGCAACTTCCACGGTTGACCTGTTAGCTGTTGCAGAGCTGGGAGCCACGAGGCATTCGTGCATTTTGGGGCGATCAGATTCATTTTCAGATTCTCCTCTCTCACCCTCTACAACAGTGATGATATCAGGGGAACTGGAGGGAAGGCATAAATCAACGTCTTTGGCCATGGTTTGTGTGCAAACACGTTCATCCCCAGTGGCGGAGCATCCTGTGGATTTAGGGAGAAGAAGAGGGCGCACTGAGAGTTCTCTCGGGTGGCTATCAAGTCCACCTCCGCTCTCCCAAACCTGTTCCAGATTTGCGAGATTAGAGCTGGATGAAGAGACCAATCCCTGTCAAGAGGACCTCCTCTCGGCATATCTGCTCTTCTGTTCAGAAAGCCTGGTATGTAAACTGCTCTGATTGGACATAAATGTGCGCACGCCCAGCAGAGCAGATCCCGAGATGCATTCAGCAGCTGGGCTGCACGCACGCCCCCCTGGCGATTTATGTACGCTGCTACGGTTCTGTTGTCTGTGTGGATCATCACGTGATGATCCTGAACCAGTGGAGCAAAATGTCTGAGCACTTTTTTCTACTTTTCTAAAAAATTTATGTAATAGGACGTGCCGGCCGACCACACACCTATTATCATTTGTGACAGGCAGGTCCCTCCCCAGCCGGAGAGGGACGTGTCTGTGAACGCCGACGTGGATGACGTCACTTTGCCTAGGGGAACTCCCTCTGATAGGTTCAGGGAATTCTCCCAGTGGCTCAGATCCACTCCCACAGATGGAGGAACGGTGATTAGGTGCCGTTTGTGACGTACAGGGTCGACTTTCAGTCGATTGAACCATCTTTGCAGGCGGTACATAAATAATAACCCCAGCGGCACTACAATGTGAACCGTTGACATCACATGACTGACAGCGCTATTACTGTTCTGAGGGGCCATACAAACTGAAGCAATGACATCAGGATTCCCTCTTCTGATCTGACAGGACAGCTGTCATGTTCGCCTGCACTGACCCATGGGAGGCTGACATGAAAAGGGCTGTTTATCAGCTCCTATGTAATGGTTCTTACAATGTTCCCCGGCCGTGCCCAGATGAGGATGAGAACCGGCGCTAGCGGTGAACAAAACAAATGCCGCTTCAGTGTAAGTTCACCTTCAGTGCTCACTTCTGACGGCTGGTCAGGAAAAACAGACGACTCACCCCTGCGCAAAGCTCTTGCTTTAACTGCATGTTCATGTTTTTTACCTGAGTGTGTAGGGACAGAAAGGTCCCTGTATTGTTTGGGTTTTAACTTCTTGTTAAACATCTTACCATTATGTGTTTCTTGACAGCTGCCTTCAGCGCTCGCCTCCTCTGACAGGCGAGGAGGCGGGGCTGGTGGGTGAGTGGAGCAGTGGAGGAGTGGAGGAGTCTCAGAGCACAGCCTCTCCATCTCTTTCTGTTTGTGTGTCATTACACCAAAGCTGTTTTCCTATTCATTTGTCTTTGAATGGTTGCCTCAGGCTAACCTTTTCATTAATTGTGTAGGATGTGCTTACAGAAAACGGAACAAATTAATTCAGCCTGTCTGAATTAAAAACTCCGTTTTTTGAGAAAGGTTTTTTTTTTTTTTTCACTTAAAAAACCCTGTTCATCTCAGCAGACACACACCCCTCAAAACGTCTCTGCTGCTGACGCTGGAGCCTGCTCTGTTCTCGCCAACCGCCAGGTGTCGGAGCAGGGCGGGAAAACGCTCTGGGTAGGGTCACGTGACTCCGCACTTGTTCCAGGGCGTCGGATGAGGACTGCAGTTGGTTCAGGACCGAATGAAAATGAGGTCCGAAGAAGCCATCTGAGGACACAGGACCTTCCAGGAGTTCTTTTTTAACGTCTTCTGGGATGGACTGAGACAGTTTCAACCACATCTGTCTCTGCAGCAACGTTACCCAGGACGAGATGCGGGCGGAACACTCTGCAAGTGCCGCAGACAGGTTGATGATCATGTCCGCAGCCGTGTTGATCTGGTCCAAATCTGCGAAGGACAGGTTTGGTTCCTTCGTCTCTTTAGCTATGCTAAGGGCTAACATAGCGATGTTGTTGGTTGCTACTCCCACTTGCGACAAGCACTGATGGAATCTGTCCGTCAGCTACGCGGTGAGTTGGTCACCGGAGGATGGTGAGGTGATACGTCAGCTGACATATTTCACCGCTCTCACCCCGAAAACAGCCGACAAACTGGATTCTAGGGGAGGAACGGTGGGAAAATCCTGGTCCGTGAGCCCTTTGACTTTGGTGATGGCTGCGTAGGAGGCGACCGGAGTCCTCAGTTTTAAAGGATCGTTAGCTGAACCCAGGAGGAGGGCGGACACAGCCGGGAAACAGGGCCAGACTGGGTCCCGGTGTCCAATGTGCTGGGCGGCGAACCTCCCAGCCAGAAGGGTCGACGTGGCCGGGGCCACCGGTTTGGGCACTTCCAGGTCACAGGCTCTCGCTGACCTCCCGATTATCTTTGGGAGCTCGTGGAGCAGAGTGGTGGGCGACCCCTGAGGGCTTTGGGGGGGGGGGGGGGGGGTGACCATTGAAGGCAACACTGGCTCCAAACCTCCTATAAGGCAGAATGGAGCGCGGCTGCTAACTGTTTCAGCTTCAGAGGGGGACTGGTTCGCGAACTCCGTGTCCAGGGAGTTAAAAAATTCCTTGAGCGAACAGTCCCCCCTCGGTTGAAACTCGACCTCCTTAGAGGAAAAGAGCTCACACCGGCGCTGCTTCTCCTCAGCCAAAAAAAGTTTACAGGCTGGACAAGAGAAGAGCGGATCCAAACCTTGCCGAGCGTGGTCAGCTCCCAGGCAGCTTTCACACATGACGTGCAGGTCCGTCGATAAGATTTAGCTCGTCTGGCACGCGGGGCACAGACGGATGGTCTTCGATTTCTTAATTGAAGTCATCATTCTTCTTCTTTTCTTTCAATTATTGTTTCGTAGAAGTAGTGTTCTTAGCGTTGACTGAAG